GAAAAGTTAGTGTATATATTTTTGTTCCTGTATCACTGCCTGAAAGAAGGCAAGTAAAGAAAAAGGAAGTTGTAATAATACTTTCTGTGCAAGAAAACATGTGTTGAAATGTTTGATACAAGATGGGAAAGCACTTCCTGGTAACGGTGTAAATAATACTTACTTATTAATTCAATGAGTATAACGTATTGTTACAAAATTATGATTCTGTTGCAGTTCATATTAAAACTTTTATTTCATTTTGCATATATAAATTATAAAACAAGTCAAGAATGGTTATGAGAGCAAAGATATTTACATAATAAAACTGAAGAGGCTTTTTGCACAGAAGAGGCTTGAGTCCTGAGGGACCTTGTGAGGTAAATGGAGGCAAAGTGGATCTTAAACAATAGAAAGAGGAAAGTCATGTGCAGCTGTGAATTGAAGAAGTATCTGCCTGCCTTTTAAATGTGATTTTCAGTCTCTTCTTTTGTGTGAGTTTTCCTATGAACTGGGCAGATCAAGTAACTGTTCTGTGTATGTTGGAGTTTGAGATGCTGTATGAGATTCATTAATTTTTTTTATAGCTAAGGCTAATGAATATTAATTCATTAAATGTGTCAAACTCTATCCTTTTCAAGTCAATGACAATACTCCTCTTGACTTGAATTGAGGGCATGTTTGAGTCAGTGTGTAAACTAAATGATAGTTGGATGCAAGTGCAGGAGCTCAACTTCAGAAAGAAGTAGAGTATATAAGATAGCTGGGCATGATATTAAGAGCTTGTTAGTATTTCACCACCATTTAAAGTTTCACCATTTGTAATGACTCCCTCAGGGATGTTATGTTAACTAGGGATTACTGGGGCACATGATACTAGCTATACCCTGTCACACATACAACACATCCCTAAAGCAAGGGAGTCTGGAGAAATTCTTAGCTCTCTCCCATGAGATCAACATGCCAAAACAATGCAAGCAAGCTGGAACAAGAACCAGGATTTCTCACAGTCACTTAGTACCTTAGTCTCTTGTTTAAAATCCTAAGAATTTACAAGATTTGTGTATATATTTAACAGTTTGCACAGGGTCTTAAAAAGGATCTATACAAATTTCTATGCCCATTTCTTTATTACCTCTGAAATTAAATGCTCATTGGACTTAAGAATGGCATAGTTAGGTTTTTCTCAGTGACGTCAGATGATTAATAAATACATTCAGCTTCATTCCCCATTGTGTAAAATTAATGAGCTGATGTGTACTCAGGCCATTATATAGATTCATTAAACTGAAAGTTTATGAAAGGTTTCCCATTTTTTGTCAGTTTAATTATGTTGGTTTAAAATGAGTCAGCCTCTGACACCACATTATAATATGACAGCAGTAATGAATCACAGAAGATCTTCTAGCACTGAACAAGGAACTGTACTTGAACTAAAAAAAAATCAGGGATAAAACTGCATGTAAATATCTTCTTAGAGCTGTTCCCTGGTTTTCCATAGATGATTTAAATAAATAATAGACATTAACTTTTTTTACTTGGTACTAAAAATTCTTTTTCAGACCCACTTTTCCCAAAGTTTGGCAAATCTGGTTCTTAATGGTGGATTACCTAGGTGCTTTACAGATTATTTGGATAAATCTTGGTTGTAGCCTATTCATATACTCTGGGTTATGTAAAATAATTAAAGTAATGTGCATCATATACACTTCAGAAGGTACTCAAGTGGACCTAATGTTGCATATAAAATGATAAAGGATGTAATCCATTAGCTGCAGTTGAACAGCCAAGCAAATATACAATTGCTGTTTCAGCCACAAGGGATATCATTCGGAAAGACAGGATAGATTTGGGAATCACTTTATTTTCATCATTGTCTCCCTCTTAATTTAAGGT